ATACTCAGTGAGTGATTTCTCGGTGAACAGTCCAGATCTATATGTAGGATGTAGAATGTAGATGCTCTAGGCGAGGGCTCTACGCCAATGAGGAGACAGATGATACTATTACTAAATAAGGACATTCGTCGAGTGATTTTGTCTCTACGAATGCCAGATTAGTCATGACTCGCGACCGCGAGTGATCTCACCTCTACAAGCACTCAAGGAGTCACGAGCGTGATCTCACCTCCACAAACGCCCGACAAGGCGCGGGTGATCCTGCCTTTGAGGACACTCAGCCAGCCGCGAGTGATCGCTCCTTTGAGGACACTCGGCGAGTACCGTATGATCCCCGTCTCTGGCTGCGGGGCGCCAGCACGCAATTAAACAGTGTAGCCACGCGCTGCGACCCCACAACTTATGGCAATTAACACACATTACAAACAAATTAATCTAACTGAACCTAATTACGGGCAGAATGTCGCCCGTGCAAATAAGGAGACTCTATTAACTATTATCCCTGCCGACTTAATTAGGGAATTGTGGGGCCCGCCGCGCTGTGGGGCGCCGGCAGAGGGGACGGGTGAGGGGATGTCACGCGCCAGGGTAGGGGATCCGCTACCCCTCCGTGCCGACGGCGTGCCCGCCGCCACTTTGATGCATATTTGAGGAGGCGTTTTAGCCGGGTGAGCTGGAGGTGAAGTGGTGCACTGGTGGCCTGGCAGGGTGGTCTGCCCTGGGCTGTGACAGCTGGGTGTGACAACTGACATATGACAGTTGTAGCAGCTGGTAATAGAATACATGACAGCAGCTTCGAGGGTAGATGTTAACTGTAAGTAGTTTTTGTTATTTAGTCAATAACCAGTTAGTGAATAGTTATATTTGAAATATTTTGAGATGCTCAGTGTTACGGCAGATTGATGGACAAAAATTCAAGCGACACGCTGTCTTCTGCACAGGGCATGGCGTCTGCCACCAGTTTCCCTTAGGTATGGGGCCCATGAATGTGAAAGCGCCATACATCAATAATTTCCGCCGCCGATCACTGTATGTGGTCTTTTAACGTCGTGTGTACCTTGAAATTCTTACAATGTTGCAGAAAGATGTACTATCTTATCACGTACTTTTAGGAAACAGCCTTGTGTTTTCAGAAAACTGCCTGATCTGTTTTCATTTTTTACTCCCTAAAGAGGATTCTGTGGTTTACACACGATGTTTTCAACGTCGCATTAGGCAAATTAGGGAGCTGTTTATAAAACATGTAATTACATTACCCAAAAGTGCTAGCATGTACTCCATTTAACGCGTTAATTGTTCAAACGACCTTATCATCGTCGGCTCCATTAGCACCTCTCACAGTTAGGAGTTGTAAAATGGTCGGTGGATCGCTTAACTTTAGTACATCACCAATAAGTAACAAGGTGAATAGCCGACCAAAAATTGTTGCAGGCTAGAAAAGTTCACATTTTTATACAATTACGGTATCCTGAAAGGCTTTTCAACATTGCAGATGCTGTAAGAATATTGTTTATCCGGCCGGCACTGGTTGTCATTTGTTAGTGTAACTAAGAACAGTACCAGGAACAAAGCCTGCATAACTATCGCAGAAGTGAAAATTTAGCACCGTTGCACGATAGGACCGCGGCCGGAATTAGCGCGACATTGGTGGATTTGGCGACCTTTCCCAAATTGAGTTAAACTGTGTCACGTAGTTAAGAAATGTCCATGGACCACGAATCTGCAAATATTTTTCGTCCATAGTGTACAGCGTCCGCGCCACATCAGCCCAAACACAAAGTTTTGTGCCAAGCATCGTAGACCCGTTTTCGTACGGAGAAAAATAGCAGCTAATGTAGGTAAAAAATATTTATATTAGACGGCTTTATCAATATTTTCGACGTCTAACCTGATAGTTTAGACCATGGGCTACACGATGGAAGAAAAAAAAACTCAGCGGAATATATAAATACGCTTCAAATGTTAAGTTTTTTTGGTGCTTTAAAAATTGTGAGTTAATTTTACTGTTATAGCTATTCTGGAATGCCGATATAAAAAGTCCCGCTAGGTCCCGCTGTTCTTTTATCAATATGGTGTTTACCAATCAATTGCCTTTCAGAAAATGTATAATTTAGCTGCGTCAGCCTGCGGCAGCGAAAATGAGGGGCATTTTTTTACTCCAGGTCGCGGCGGCCGGGAGCCGCGAGTAACAGAACCTCAGGAATCGAACAAGGTTGCCAAGTACCAACTATCTTAAAGTTTTGTCCGGACATATCCGTACCTTCTATCGGAGCTTCAGATACACTTTTCTGACCCGTAATAAATTTGTTATATAGTCATGTAGGCCATCAGATTCCCATCTTCACGGTTTTGGTGGCTACATTATTTGCTTATCGGAATTTCCGGTGCCGTCATGACCTGGCCTGACAGGTGCTGCCGTCTTATCACGTGACCGAGCGGAGTCGAGGTCAGGGCAGGTCAACCGATTAGTTAATCAATTAATTAATGAATTAATTAATGATTAATTAATTAATTAAATTAATCAGAAATTGCTTAGAAAGTACACCGATTACCATTTTTATGATTCTACCATCCTTTTCATGTGAAAAGCGGGCACGAAATACGAAAAGGTACCGATGTCGCGCTAATTTTCGCTCCGGTCCCATTGTGCGTTGGTGTTCGTCTGCAATGCTGTTTTTAATTTTCCCGGGTGCTTGCCATCCACTTTCTCCACCCTGAAACCCACAAGGTTTTTACTGCCTATCTATAGTTATAGATAAGCATCACATGGTGCAGGTTGCATAATGAACATGTATCTAGCCTAAAAAGTATACGATTCACGAAACACATTTTACTGAAGACAGGCTTATTTAGATTCACAAAGTGTCCGATTTTCTTTGCTCACCTTAGTCCATGGTGTCAAGGGTCCATGTTAGTTTTTATGCATAAAGTGTCATTTCAGAATGGGTCCATGTCGGCAATGCCAAATCAGATGTGACCCAAGTCATCTTTATAATCTGTTTAAGAACATGTCTGTCAGAAAAAAATAGCCCGATTGTTCAATGGTTAAAATCAACGCATCGCACATTCTTGGTCAGTTTTTGTTTTGTTTCCAATCTTCGGTTACTCACCCTTCACCAAAAGATATTACAGCTGGTTCGTGTATAGCTGGTTCGGCCAAAATATATTATTAACCCGCGCCCTGCTGGGGGGGGGGTGTTTGAACACCCCCCCCCCCCTGTGGTTTTTCGCGAATATCTCAAAAACGGCGGCGCGGAGCGCCGCCGTTTTTGATACACCTTATCATACATCAATTCTACACATGTTGTGAAAATTTCAGACCAAGGTCATTCAAGGTCAGGTCACCAGGTCACTTGAAGTGACCTCACCTCATAAAAACTTTCAATGTCTGTCATAGCTACACCGAGTGACCGATCGCTTTGAAACTTTCAGCGATTGCTAAGAGCAATAGCATGTACAAAATGTATATCTCAGAATTTTGATATCGATGACCTAAGGTCAGGTCAATTTTGCGACCTCCCCATTATAAGTCAATGGGAGAAAATTGAAATGCGCCTCTTTTGGATGAAAGACGTTATAAACACTCCCAAACACCGAATTACAAGTGGTTTAGACACACTGAACTTGAAAATGGTGTCCGTGACCCTTGTTTATGCCCTGAGGTCATCTTAGGTCACGAATGGTATCTAACAGTTTTTCGCAAATAACTTTTGATAGAGGCATGCTAGAGCGATGAAAACGCCTTAGATGTGTTCAGCTCGACGATACGGATCGACTGATATGCAACATGACCCTTTCCGGTCAGGTCATGACCTTGACCTGAGGTCAAATTTTCAAGTTGACCTTTCAAGGTCAAGTTATAGTTCATTCGATGCGTCTTGACGAGAGGAACACGATGCCGGTAAAAGTAAGCTCGTACAATGCTTGGGTCAAAAGTTATTGCAGAAAAACTGTTTTCGAAAAAATCGGCTATTTTTGCAGTTTTTGCCCCCTGCAGGCAAAACCGTTGACGTTAGGTCAAATCTGAGAGAATTACTCAGAAAGGGCGTTAATAGGGCTATCGAATGCGCTTTTCCGCGGCGCTGTAGCTCTATTGGTTCCCGAGTTATGCGTTGGCTTCTTGGAAATTTTCGACATTTGACCTGGAAATCGGCGAAATTTTGCCTTCAATGACCTCTGGTGACCTGACCTTTGACCTGACCAAAAAATTGACCGAAGTGATTTCGTCATTATTTTTTACGCTCTTTCGAACGCCGCCTTCCGCGTATCGCTACGTGGCCCAGGAGCCGAGTTACAAGGGGGGGTGTTCAAACACCCCCCCCCCCCCCCAGCAGGGCGTGGAAATCCAGGACCCCCAGCAGGGCGCGGGTTAATAAATGAAATAGCAGTTTTTTACGTACGTATGCGTGATAAATGTACCTAAGTTGTTTTGTAATAAATCAAGGAACAAGCTTCGTTGCAAACCTTTGCTGTAAATGCTATTTGCGTAAGCTAAGCGTTCGACTTCAAAGCATGAGTGCAGATTTTCGTTTCACGTACTCTGTCTCTGCCCATGAAATGAGAACCATTTAGCACTTCTGTCATCCGCCGGTACCTAACATTAATTCTTCGGCCTCTCTTCCAGACAGTATTTTTCATTCACCGAGCCATTTCTGGCTGTTGAGCAATTTCTTCCTGCCGCTCGCCGTCGCCATTTGTTTTCACACTGTCAGACTGGAGGAGGCGGCCGCCGCCAAATTGATTTCATTATCAGCTGCTTGTTCAATTTGACAGAAGTTCATTAAAACCTACTTCAGTGCCGGCGAAATCACTTTGAACGTCCGTAAGCCGCGGGTGATTGGTTAATTGGACGGCTGACGTCACGCGGCCGCCGGGTAATGGTGTGATAATTGAGGCGGCGACCAATGGGCGACGGCGGCGGCCCGGTGGGCGGGGCATCGGCTGACGGCGGCGGCGGCCCGTCGGCCCACTCCACGGCCGCCGGTTAGGCCGCACCACAACTCTTTAATAGGCGAGTGTGTGAGTTAGCTGGACACTCCATCATCGTAAACGATCCGAGGGGCCATTTCGGCAGTTTATAGACCATCGGGTGACCAGTGAAAGACTCGCGAACTCAGTGACTGGCGTGTGAGACACTCGATACGGAACCTCTGAGACTCCTGCGGCTCAGGTGTACCCTCCTGCTCCATCGGGCACCAGGAATCTCCGGACCCCTGACCCTGCCGAGGGGTGAGTCCCGTCGGAACGAACGGCTGACCCTCTCCACTAGACCGTTGGGTGTCATGTGCTCGGCTGAAGCGGGCATGTCTGTCGAGGTGGGACAGGAGTCGCTGGCGGCTCCGTCACGACTGGGCAGTCCCCCTGCCCAGCTCAGCAGCGGCAGCAGCAGTAGTAGCAGCAGCAGTCCGGTCCAGCCGCCGCCAGCGGAGGTCAGCACAAACCGACACAGCATCGCAGCGATACTTGGACTGAGCCAGCGGCTGCAGCCCCGCCAGTCACCAGGTGAGACACCAGTCACAGTCATGAGTCACAGGCAGAGTTACAGTCAGAGCAGCAGTCGCAGTCATGATGGAGGTTGTCCAAGCGGCTGTACGAACAGTGTACATGAGCTCTAAAAGCAAAAACGTGCAGCAGTTGGTTTGCTACACTCCACAGTCCACATGTTTCAGAGATACCTATGCACGTACAGTTTGTCTTGCTCTCGTGCACCGCATGGTGGGCTGAGCACTGTACTCGCGGTGTTCAGAATTAAACGCTGTGACAACAGTCTGTGCATAAAAGGGATTTTCTGTTATTCTCGGGGCATCCGCAGTAAGTTGAAGAACGTGAGCGATGAGCATAGGGCAGATCCCGTCCGGCGAGCATGTGGGTACGCTACGCAATAAGACTGCACTCCACAGCTATCCGACTACTGGAGGCTCCGATAAAACAGAAGATGTTATGAACTGTGCATAAGTTCTGTTCAGCGCGAGCTTTTTTGTCGATATTACATTGGTCATATTACATTGGTCATATATATTGGTCGATATTAAATTTTGAAATGTCTAAACGAAATGAGAAGCAGCAAACTAAATGGCATGCAAGCAACCATTCATGCCAAATGAATAGTTAAGCATGCAATCACTAATAAGTCAATGCACAATTCACTAGTCAACTCGCGCGATGCCCAGTGGACACTACGGGACAAAAAAAGCACTAATGATCCCGCGAAGCGTCAGCCAGCGCTTCAAATCACTGTACCGATTCCGACATGGCGTCTCTTCGGCGCGGCGTATCCCTTCCTTTAGCCTAATCTGCAGTGGGTTAGAACTTAAGTACGACAAAGCTCAGCATATAATAGTGATATGGTTAGCCAAGCTCGTGCTCTGAGAGGCTGACTTACTGAGGATCCATAGGGTGAGCTAATTTCGGTCACAGGAAACCGGCTTAGCCATTGTTCTTCGAGGGGGTGGGCCGGGCCCCCTTTTTTCGTGAATATGTAAATCGTAAAAATGTCGTTGGTTGCGACGAAACTTTCAATACCCTCGAGTTAACCAATTTTACACATACCCTGGAAGATCCATGACCTCTACCAAAATTTCTCAAGATCATGTCAGGCCGGCAACGCGATTCGGCGTGTCAGCGCACCTTCCTTGCGGTTCCTGTCTTTTTGTGGTTGCATTTGTTCAACATGTGAAATAGTAATGGTCCCATGCATTAGGTGGGTGCCACGTGACGTTCAGGTCAAGGTCATTGCCTTAAATGACCTAGGTTATCTTTGCTAAGTTGTATATGTTATCAGGGAAGTTTTTGGAGCTAATTTTAAATTTGGCATACATTTGAGCATTCGAGAAGTAGTTTTGGTACCGTAACATGTTACGTAGTCAGTGGTGGTTGACACTTATATGGATAGCCGGCAGGACGCCTATTGGTTGACCTGACCTGACCTGACCCGGCCTACCCCAGATGCCTCAATAGATCATCCTTCATCAAAACTAACATGAAATTCGTAGGGGAGAGTGGGGCAAAGCGGCCACCCGGGGCAAAGCGGCCACCCATCGTTTTAGCCCTTCATAGCTGGCGTCAGTTCCAATTTATGGTTTCCAATTATACTTCTCTTTACGGTCGTTCGAATTAGCCAGACCGGGGTTTCAGGCCCATCACCATTGTTCTGTGAAACACGGAAAAGCATTTCTTGCCAGGTTACCAACTATGTTTACATTTTTTAAATGTTATGTTATTCCATAACCGTTTGGAATTTTTATAAGCGTTCTTGACCATTCATTGCATGGTTATCGTACATGTATTCTACCAATCTTAATGTTTTTTACCCCACTAATAGCTAAGCTAGAATATTGTTGTCTCGGATGGTATGCGCGGGGCAAAGTGGCCGGGGCAAAGTGGCCACCCCCCAATTGGCCATAAGTTGTTTCCATCTGGATAAAAACATTATTTATATTCAAATGTTTCGTCAGGCATTCATCTTGGCCACTTTTCAGTTGCATGAGTTACCAAATAATGCAATTAAATGTTTTTTTTTTCATGAAAATCCTTTCTTTGTTTACCTACAGGTGGAAGATGATAAAGTAAATATCCATCCTCGCTTAAACTTTGTCACCATCAAATACCCTAGTCGTACATGAGGCAACAATTTTGTTTCTCATATCGGGACTTGAGAACACGCCAGTGGCCGCTTTGCCCCAGGGTATGGGGCAAAGTGGCCAATGTGCATAGGCTTAAATTTTTGTCAATATCGTCCATATGTGAACGCCTTTGGAAATAAAACGCAGTTGAAATAAAAGGCAACTTAATAGGGATCACATTGGTATAGAAAGATCTTTCCAAGTTTAAAAATCAAGCGTTGGCATCGTGACAAGCGTTAGGGTGGACGTTTTGCTCCACTCTCCCCTACTCAGGACTAGAGATGTCAATCGGATACCAACTTTTTGGTATACCGATACCAAACCGATACCAACTTGATATTTGGTATTTCAACCGTATTGTGTTTGGTATCTTGTTAGTATCATGAACCCCCACTAATGTATAAGAGGCTAAGAAATCGGTAAAAGCTGGTATTTCCCTCATTTGTCCAAATTGGCTTGGTTTCGGTAGGTATTTCCCCGTGGTTTTGGCTGGTATTTGGTTTGGTATCGGTATTCCGATTTTCCGCAATTGGCATCACTAATCAGGACCCGACAAACCCATATAACAACTTCAATTAACCCGCGCCCCGTTGGGCTCTGCCGAGCAACGCAATGGGGGGGGCCATTTTGGCCCCCCCTAAGATCTCGAGAACCACGCAACGTAGCGACAAGCGGCAAACGGTGTTAGATAGCCCTATCAGGGAACTACCTTGTGACCCAATTTTATTGACCTAGGTCAAACCGATGACGTCACAGGTCAGGTCAAAGGTCCAATTTTCACCGTTTACAGGCATATCAAGAAATGCGTTGTACAATCGAGTAAAATGCATTTCATTGAAAATCATCGATGGGGAAATGTTCTTCAAACACATATTTTGCTAGTTGAGGTCACTGATACCAGGTCAGGTCACAGAGGTCAGGTCACTGGGGGGTCACAATATGAAAGTGTCGTGTGATACATGTTTTATGGTCCATTTTACATGACAAATGCGATTATGTGGGTCAGGCAGCCTTTGGGGCCAGCTTAGGTCACGTTTTGGTCAAGGTCAGGTCAAGGTCAGGTCAAGGTCAGGTCAAATTAGGTCAAATTTCAAAGTTGATATTTTTGCATAAAATGGGTATCGAATCGATGCAGCTCGTCACGGGGAGTTCAATGGTGGTCTTTGTTTTGCCGTACGAGGTCTAGAATCGCTAAAAATTGAGTTCAAAAATTTGACGTCATCATTTTTGAACAGTTTTTTCGCTATAACTTGGCCAAAAAAAGAGATATCGATCTGAAATTTGGTATGTATATAGAAGAGCGCAAGGACTATCACATATATTCCGGTTTTTTCGAAATTCGGAAAAATTTTGGATTTTTTTTTAGTTTTTCAAAAAAAATCAATTTTTTGAATTTTTTTGGGTCAAAAACCCAAAATTTTGAAAATCCGAGATAGCAGTTTTGTAGCGCCGCTTTTTTTTCTACTAGACCATATAAAGAACTTTGAAATTGCTTGATAATTGTAGATTTGGTGAGCGGTTCAAGATTGCATGTTTTTTGCTCATTTTTGCTCGAACATGACCTCAGTTTGACCTCAATAACTCCTGACCTAAGGTGACCTAAGACTTGAAATTTGGTGTGAAGGTGTCAAATTGATGCCCGGGAAGGTACTGAAAATTTGGCGGCGCTGCGCGCCGCCGTTTTCTTGCTATTCAGGAAAAACCACAGGGGGGGCCAAAATGGCCCCGCCAACGGGGCGAGGGTTAACAAAGTTCTAGCAGGTCCCGATTTTCCAGACTTTTGGGTCATTGACCTGACCCCAAAGGTCAACCAATGACCAAGGACCTTAAAATTGGGTAGCATCGGCTTCCTGTCTTAAAGGGACTATCCCACCTTCAAAAAAGTACCATTTAGGATTCGGAACTGTTACTCATGATATTGTGACGAATTCTGCAAGTTTTTACGCGTTTTCATTGTATACTTTTTGAGATATTGCGACTTTTATATTTCATCGTGACGTCATTTAGATCGGATCTTTGACGTAATGAAGGATTTACTCCATGTCAATGTGGAGGAAATTTGGCAGCAAATATAGGTATTTGCTCTCAAATATGACGCGGCTCATACAATAACAAGTAACAAGATTTCCCCGGCGCCGATTTCAACTTATTCGTAAAACAGGTCGAACGCGTGAAACGGCTGATGACGTCATCAAATGGCCGTTAATAGTTAAGAGATAGGGCCTTAGCTAAGGCACACTTTTCAAATGAAGGGAACGAATTTCTTTAACACCACGAAACTGAGGATATTGCGACCAGGATATATAGTGGTTTCTGAACCTAGCCGCCAACTTGGCTATCTCAACTCAGAACTAATGCAAAGGTGGGACAGTCCCTTTAAAAGGGACTGTCCCATGCCTCTTTTTTCAGTGAAGCTCGAGATCGATCAGGGGCGCAGACCGGCACTGGGAGGTCCAACGGACCCCCCCCCCCCATACATATGTACGCTAGCGACTGGAAAAGCACCTATACGGTGTTCCATATTTGTTTTGCACTCTTTTGAAATCCCATAAAATCCATGAGTGTTGGGGACCGGTGTCGTTTATTTACACCTTGAAGAATCGTCGTTAAATTTATTGTACCATCGAACACAAAAAAGCGAGATTAAAAAAAGTGAAGTCAATTAAAGGGACACTCCCACCTTAACATTAGTTTTGAGTTGAGATAGCCAAATTGGTGGCCATGGCCTGCAAATACCGGTTTGGGCACTCACAACATCGAAAAATGCTTTAATTCGAAGATATGGAATTTCAAACTTGCAGTTTTCGGATTCTAAGGGGCTAATGCATTGGAATGCCCCTTAGAATTTGTGACGTCAGCGGAGATCTAACGATTTTTAAA